GAATCATCAATTTCTTTTCCTCACCACTCACTTTTTTTTTGAGAAAAAGAAGAAAAAATAGTCGCATCATCTCTTTCTTACCCATCAAAATTTTAAGGATCGATAATACTAAAATTTATATCCTATGGTTCAATTAGTAGAAAAGTATTGTCTAATCCATATATAGTTCCTTGGTAAGATCTCTAATGGATGGTCATTATCTAATGACTAAACAACCTAGAAAACTCTCATTCTTTTTTTCTCCACTTTCTCTCTCTTATCTCATTTTCGAGATGAGGGCAACGTGTAGAGAAGTCATTGGATGGTGAATCAGTTTTGCATTATTTTCAGCTTCAATCTATCAGAGTTGTGATTTAAGGAAAAACCCCACAAGATTCAATGTCTCAGATTGCCAAGTTGCTCACAGGCTTCTATCAAGTATCAGCAGATAGGGGTAGGACCATGGATTAATCAAGCCATGGAACTCAACTTAATTCATACCCATTTTCTCTCTCTCTCTACAGGAATTATTTTGAGTTTGACCATCTAACTCAAAAGAGAGAGAAATACAGTCAAATCTCACCTGTAAAGCAAAATTGTAAACTTGGGGTACAGTTCACAAAGCAGAAAAATAAAGGTTATTATCGCCAAATACAGCCTCTCGTTTCTTTAATTAGAAAAATCAAAATTACATCGAATAATGAAACTTGTTGAAATTGGAAACTTCTGGTTCAGTTCCCAAAAAGCAGAGAATTAGTAGATATTATTTGTTTGTAAAATACTTTTTTTTCCTATTTTTCTTTAATTATTAGTTACATAAAATTGAAAAAAAAAAAGTTGGCGTCGCCCGGACTCGAACCGGAGACCTTCAGTGTGTTAGACTGACGTGATAACCAACTACACCACGACACCAATTCATGCACATAAGTAGAGTTAAACTTATTTGTGTATTTTAATATTATTTTAAAAATAAGTTTTAAATTGATAATAAAGTCTTGGGTTAGGCAAGTACAAATCAGGCCGGATAGAAAGACTGCTTGGTTTTGAAAGCAACCTAATTTGTCTAAAAGATCAATCTCATTGAACAGTGTTCGTGATTGTTATCGAGATTCATCACGCCGAAAACTATATGATAGATTGTGGGAGTCACAATCATAAACATTGTTATAGAAATAAAAAGAGTATGTAATACAAAATAAGAAGCATATTCTATAACAAAATGTGATTGCCAATGGGAGATGATATGATCCTGTTAGATCATCATTTATTATGGGGAAAAATGTCATATGAGTGATGAGACTTGTATCAATTATGATAAAACCTACCAATTTTCTTAACATAATCACACCGGCTCAAATCATATATATATCGGCGGTTGAGAACAATTTTCCTTAAAGAAAACAAGAAATTAAAATGACTAAATTTTTCTGCCTCATAAGTTTAATATGCATAGGTAGTAAGTAAAGAGGTCTCGAAATTAGGCTTACAATATAATTTACTCTCCATTTGAATAATAGTCCATTGATTGAGTCTTAGGTAGAATTAAAAATATATTAAAACAATAAATTTATGAAATTTTTGGGTCTAGATTCTAGAAATTCATTTTTTATAAATTTTCTCTAAAGTTTGTGAAGGAGAAAGAGATATATGGTGAAATTCACCAAAACAATTTTACAGCAGAATGTACCGTGCCTTTCATTGTCATATGCAATTAAATTTGGGCATTTCATTGCTTAAATGAGGGCACCATAAGTAGAGAAATTGGTAGAGAAGTAAAGCCCACAAATAGAAACTACATGGTATGGCCTTGTTTGTCTCCTACACTCTATTTTTGAGAACAGCCCACATGAACACTAAACCTAATGATTTTCAGAATAGAAGAAAAAAACAAAAAACTCCACTACACAAATCAAATCTTCTTTCTCATGTCCAACGTCCTGTATAGTTCAGCAATAATATATATATACTCATACTCCAATTTGTTGTACTTAAAAAGAAGAAAAAACTCTGAAATTGGAAGAAATTTTGGTATAAAAGAGAACTGAGTTGACTGCTCTAGAAACACTGATAGCTATACCTCCACTCCTTTCACTTCTGCACCTCCCGAACTCATAACATTTTAATTTCGTCTTTTTCAATTAATCTTTTAGATATACGTACCAAAAAATTTCTCTAAACGATACATCAAAATGTTAGTAGGAGCGTTTTATTTCTCTAAAAAAGCGAAAAAGTGAGATGCATTTTTGGGTGGGTGACCCATTGATTGTGATTCTATTCTCTCTTTTTTTGCTTTCAGCACCCCCACAATCAGCCTAACTCACTCTCCCCACCCACCTTTCTCAAGTTTTCCCAGCATTATCTACTTAGGGGAGACTTGGGTGCAAAAAAAAGGCATAAATGTAACACATGGGATACTCAATAATCTTCCATGTCATAACCCTATCAAAAGGGCCCAAATTTCTTGTGCTTGACAAACAATTGAAGATGCAATACAGAAGATTGTTCCTTCACATGTTATCTGTCTGCCATCTATCTTTACATGAATTATCTTATCAATATAAATTGTATTATTACATTCTGTACATAATATTTAATTTATATATTATATATGTGATATACAATACCTAGGACTTGAATTTATTATATGATCTTAATCTTTCTGTTATTAGATAAACACGATCTACAACATTTGGAGTATATTTGAACAACAAAATCATATTGTAGGGATTTTATTCTATGTGGCCCTCATCTTAACTTGATTTATACTTTATTAAACAAATTGGTTCAAGTATAATTGTGGAATGTGTGGAGTATTCTCTCTTTTCAAAACCCTACTGCTCGATCAATTAAGGTACTCTCTAAAGGGTACAGTTTTGTTGGTAGGATCCTTGGATTTGTTTACCTAACTTTTGCTTTATTTGCTCATATCATTGTTTTCTTCCCTAATTCACCATACTTTTTCTATTGATGACTACCCTTCATCATTAAGAGCTTAAAACTCTTGACAACTCGTTGGGTCGTCTTAGGTGAGTTGGTTCGTCTTCCCTGATGTTAAATATGATCCCTTATCGTTAAAGAGAGAGATAAAAAAAGAACTCTGGTCACCATCGAGATTTCGAAAGAGATATGAAAGGTCTTGTTGTCCTAACACGCCACCGAATAAAATTCTTATCATCAACGCATCAAACCTTCTTCGACAAACTTGTCGAGTCTGAGGTGAATTGGTCAATCTTCTCATTAAAAGCTATTGAGAAATTTTGATCAACATTAAGATTTGACGGCCTAATCCGCAAGATATGAAAGGTCTCGTTGTCCTAACACATCACGCATCCCAATTTTAAATTTTGATCGACAATAAGATTAGACATACTAATACGCACGAGATATGAAAAGGTCTCGCTATCCTAACACATCACGCAATCCCAATTTTAGATTTTGATCGACATTGAGATTTGACATACTAATACGCGAGATATGAAAGGTCTCGTTGTCCTAACACATCACGCATCCCAATTTTTCTTACATTACACGAGCACTTTAATTAATGAATTCAGGCTAAGTTCGTATCTACCATTTTTATTATTTTCTTTTTTTGAGTCCAAAGATTCCAATGTACCAATACATAGATATGAAAAGCTTCGATGTCCTAACACGATACTACGTACCGACTACCCATCATATAACTTGCATCTTCTTCGTTCCTTCATAAAAGTAAAAACTGATTATAACTTTTCATTCATAAGAGAACATGAGGGGGAAGCTTCTTGATTCTTAATAGGGCAAATGATTCTTATGAGGGTAATAATAATAGTAGTTCCCATAATCCTGAAAATGACAGAGTGTCAATCTGAGACGAGACGAAAAAAATTGAAGTAATGTCTAGGAATGGGATCACCCACATGTGATAAAGATGTAATTTATGACCCATATAATATATATTCTGACAGACAAACTCAAAACCCCATTCAGGCAAACGCTGCAACCTCTATCCTGGCAATGTTTGATTGTCAGCCTGTTGTTTTGTTTTTTTCTTGTCCAAATTCGGACACAGTTCCCTTCAATTGAATTATCAGATCACTCGACATAATAACAAAAACCCTAATTATCCGTTATTATGATTTTCAAAATTAGAGTTATCGGTTATCCCGATAGAGATTGATATAGTGGCAAGCGCTTGAGACCATTCAATCCGATAACGAGCTCTAGTTATAGAGGATTCATTAGCGTAAACTACGTTACATCGATTCCGAAAAATTAAAAAAAAAACAAAAACAAAAGTCTCTCTCAACGTTTTGTTATGTCAATTTTCAACAAGAAAATTTCCGAAAGAAAATAGGTGGGGCACTGTTTGGAAATTCTACTGTTTAGGCATCCATCACTGCAGAGAAGCTGAAAGAGCAATTATCGCCATGTCTTTTAAAGCTAATTGCTTTTATTTAATTTCCTCTCCTTCGTTGAAAATGGCAAGGAAATGGCGGCAATTGATAATTATTATTCTCTACCAAACCTAAAGATTATGGAGCTCTCGTGGGTTTACTGTGTGGTTGTTGTGGGATTTTTGAATCCCAATTGCAACATGGGGAATTTTAATTATTCAATTTAAAGCCTCATATTTTTTTAGACCACCTTTTATAATTCCCATATGTTAAATAACCTATAGCCATTCTTCTTTTAATTGCATGTTAATGTTGAAATTATAATCTCATCTGTGACATCAAATTTAAAACATTCATTGTGATATGTTTTTGAGATGTTCTCTTGATCTTGACGTATCACATTTTGGAGTCAACTTCTTTTGTTTGGATTTGAATTGTAAGTGTCAACGGGACAGTGAGAACCAAAGAATCGGTTGTATTTAACTACAATATTTTTATTTTATTATTATTGTTTTTTATTTACATGCATGCATTTGTTTTTATGATTCTGATGAACTCAGTTCAAAATTTGAATGTTAAATTAATAACGAATGAGATTGGAAATATGTTTTTTTATCAATTACTTTTTCATGATCCAAACTCTCACCCAATCCACGATTTTTTTTATTTTTTTATTTTTTTTCTTGCCACCTTCATGTAAAATACTATGGCTTTGCTTAATATATTTTCATGAATAAAGAGCCCATGCCTCCATGACTTGTAAATGGTCATGTAATATCACTTGCATATAACAATTCAATACACCATTCAAACAGGATGAAAATAAAGATTTAAACTTCTAACAAGATTTATAATATTTAACCAATTAATTGTAAAATTATTCAAGCCAATATGTTTTCAATAGATTTAGTAATTATAAGAGTCACGGCTACATTTGATAATTTGTTTCCACTTTATGTATAATTATACTCATGTTTGTGTCAACATAAGCATAGCTAAGCAATTAAGGTATCTTGCCTTTTTTTAGAGGTCGGTGACTCGGATACGTTGATTTCTCTTTTATTGAATTAATTTAATTCTAATTATGTATGATTACTAAGTTAGAGAATGAAAATAAAAATAGAATAATATTTACAGAACGAAAATATAATTTAATTGAATATTATTATTACTACTGCTTCTGTTCTTCTAATTTAATATACTATTCAATTATTATATTTATAAAAAAAATATATATATAATATTTTTTTTGACGAAATATATATATATATATATATATAATTTAATTGAATACTACAGCCATGTGCAACTGGACCACCCTTGATAAACTTGGCCGTTATAATTTGAATTGGGCCTAATAGGCCTTGGAGATGATTGGGCTTGGGCATTAGAACGCTTTAACAATCATTTGGGCCTTCAGGACCTAGTGGTTTCGTGTGGTCCCTAAAAAAATTGCCATCCATTTTCCAACCCTCGGCCCCCAATTTCATTTAGCAGAAGCCAGCCCACTAGTTTTCTACRAAAATATTTGTACGAGGGGTATTTGTGTAAAATGAAATTGGGCTTCTCTATATAAATAAGGATGGGAACTTGAATGCGAACTGAGAGAGACAAATTTTGCGCGCCAAAGTTAGCGTTTCTGATTGCTCCGGCGAGAAGTATGATGTATTAGGGTTCGAAATTTTTGGTGGCCCACGATGCTGTAGGCAATTGCAGGTATGTTTCGGTGATTTGCCTTTCAGAAAACGATATTGTTTCTTTGATCAATCATTGATTGTTAGGTCTCATAAATCCTCATTACTTGACGATTTTGATTAGTCGAGGAGGAAACCGAATCGTTTATTAAACTAATGACTGTCATTGCTCAGTTCCATAAATCCTAATTACTTTACGATTTTGATTACTCGAGAAGAGGAAATCAAATCGTTTATTACTGATGATCGAGATCGCTTAGACTCATAATCCAAAGTATCAGATGTTTGTTTTGTTCGTCGATTAGATTAGATGAGGTGTTTAGTCGATAGATTTGATTCATATATTGATTTATCTCTTATTTTATGCACGGTCCGATGATAAACAGAACATCTCTCAATACGTTATATTTCAGATTTGTACGAGTTGCTGCAGTCCTTGTAATTTATAAGTTCAAATTAAACTCCTTCCACGGAGGTCTTCCTTTCCTTTGTTTGCAGAGTTTTGAAGACGATTACGTGTTGGCAGTGGTTTCTGTTGAAGCGTGAATTAAGTAGCTACCTAAACAATCTTTATCGGTATGTGTATAGATGATTTTTCTACTGTTACACTTTTATAACATTTTATTAAGTTCAATTTGTGAGTCAATTTGTACTTCCTAATTGCTTTTATTTTTATGTATTATAATTGTCGTGATATTTTTGGATTTAATGTATTTTGTGTCTTGTGAAAGATTTTACTGATTCATAAAGTAATATGCATTCAAGAACGGAGTTGCTTCCACCTAAAACATTATGATCTGATATGGATTTTGTTCATTTACATGCTATGCAGTTAGGACAACTCTGGTTATAATATTGTCTAAAATATCTTATACAAAATAATTTTGATAAAACAAGTTTGTCTTCATGCATGCTATTTTTCTTATTAACTTGGTCAAAATTTTTCTTAGTAGTCTTCGTTTCTTGTAGGCTCAACTTATTCTTTGATACTTTCCATCACTAGTAGAATTAATGTTAGTTGTTACTGTATTTCGATGTACTCTCTTTAGTTTATACGTTATGATATTTTTGGAATAATAGGTTTTGTTGAAGATACCATCCCGAGTAAATAAAAGACCAGTAAAATTAAGGATAGAAATGAATAGAAAATAGTTATTAGCCTTCTTTGATTATTACTCTTATTCTCCCTGTCCGCTCTTTACTGTAAGGCTTCTATAAAGAGTTTGTGCTGGTGGACTTGCTTAGCTTTTTCTGAAAGGAAACAAGGAAATTTTCATTAGATGAATGGTTTGAGCCCTAGTGATGTGTGAGTATGAAGAATGAAAGTTGTAGGGAAGACTTAAGAACTATAATAACCTTAACTTCGTCCTTTATTTGGTCTTTTCCATCAAAATTCCTAGAAAAAGCATTTAATCACAGTGTTTAAGTACCTTCTTTTTATCATTGAAGAGTTGGAAAATGTTAGGGGACAAATCTTTGTGGGAATTGGTTACAGTAGAATTTTCATACCAAAAACTCATTCTTTCCCCATTTTTCTTTTTTACTTCAACATGTGGGTACGGGGATTTGAACCTTTAATTTAGCTGAGGATATATACGTTAATTAGTTGGCTTAGATTGGCACTCTTTCCTTATCCTTAACATTGGAGGAGGATCCATTCATCTTTTTCTTGTAGATAGAAACTTACAAGTCATTTTAAATACAAAATAAAGTTAGTACTATATGATTTATACTTGTATCCCATTTTAACGGGTTAAATATATATTTTGGTCTAGTCCAAAATAGTTTTATTATAGAGAATAGTCCACTTTTATGTTTCCTCAAATGAAGACCCTTTGTTACCTAAGTCTGCTCATGTAATGTAGACTGTTTAGATTAATGCTCAATTGAATTTTGTATGTACTGTATACTATGTTTGAGAGTGTATGGAGTAATGTTAGGTAAAAATAACATTATCTAAGAKATAGAAAAATTCATAGATTATAGATAGGTATTTTTTTTCCGAATGTTAATAATTATAATTATGAACTCTTTTAGCATGAACATCACAAGCCAACTTGAACGTAACTCAATTATATATTTTCGACTGAAAATGTTGGAGGTTCGAATTCTCACGTCTCTATGTTTAATTAAAAATTATGTACAACCTTATAGGCAATAACATTAGGTAAGAAACGAAAAGTTAACCTTACAATGTTATCATAGATTAGTAAGAAGCACGAGTCAATTTTGTTGGGATATGACACATTGTAGTGGGGTGTGTTTATTTGGTTTAGGTTTGAGGGATATTTTTGACCCAGTTGGATTCCTTGACCCTAAACTTAAATGATGCAACTAAACAACCTAGGTCAATTCAATTGTTGGAGGCGAATCCTGGCCTGCCACGTGTCACGATCGAAAAGGTGGGTTGGTTAAACACGCGGGTGAAGTGAAGAAAGCGGCTCCAAAATACTCAGGTCGGCAGTCAGGGTAGGACCCATAGTGCCGAGCTGAGCTGATACAGAGTCCGTAACAGTGTCYCTTTCGTGCCCGACAACACGCCGCGATTTTAGGGTGTGTCAGAATCCCTGTCGGGCCCAATTTCTATAAATAGAAACYCTTGCCTTAAATGCAAGGTACGCAATCCTAAGTAAACTCAGCAAGTTAGCTCGGACTAGAACTAATTTGCTCGTCGGAGTGCTAACTTTGTGTTGCAGGTCTCAAGAACTGTTCAAGGAAGGTGCCGACCATTGGCCATAGCTTCTCCTGAGTATATCGATCCGAATCGTGTCCGAGCTCAATCAATTTCGGGCTCAAACATTTGGCGCCGTCTGTGGGGACGACATATTTAGAAGTCAGCCTCACCTTTTGCAATCTGAGCCAATGGCCCAAACCCGCTCCCAGCAGTCACGATCTCAACTTTCGCCCATCCGCTCTCCGATGA